TTTTGTTGGTAAAGGCAGATTTACAGAGGAAAGGAGAGAGAGAGATTGTCCATCTAATAAGCTGATCTGAAGCCAGGAGCTGGGAGCCTCTTTCTGGTTCTTCCACATATTGCAGGGTCCCAAGAATGTGGGTCATCCTCCACTGCTTTCCCAGGCCATAAACATGTAATACTTTTTTTTTTTTAAATATCATAAACATGTAATACTTAAACCTCCAGTGACCTTATGAGGAAGTTGGAGTTGTTTTACCTAATTTATACACGAGGAAGCAGGTACAGAGGTTAATTGCCGAAGACCCAATAGCTTTTCAGTGGCAGAGCAGCCAGGGTATAACTCTGTATTCCAACGACAGCGCTCACTCCCTTCACCTCACCTTGTTCAGAGTTCAGACAGGAATTATGTAAGGGAAGCAGTCTGGCAGGAAGTGAAAAAGGTGACTAGGAAGTTCCATTAACGTGTAGGGCCTCTAGAAGTTGAGTCTACTAAGTGAGACTCAAAAAATGGTATTTTTGGAATCCTAATTTGGCAGGGGAGAGAGAACCAGGTTATATTGACAGTTAAAGTAGCCAAATTATAATGTTATTATGCATAGGTTCTTTTTTTTTTTAAAGATTTATTTTATTTATTGGAAAGTCAGATATACAGAGAGGAGGAGAGACAGAGAGGAAGATCTTCCATCCGATGATTCACTCCCCAAGTGAGTGCAACAGCTGATGCTATGCCGATCCAAAGCCAGGATCCAGGAACCTCTTCTGGGTCTCCCACACAGGTGCAAGGTCCCAAAGCTTTGGGCCGTCCTCGACTGCTTTCCCAGGCCACTAGCAGGGAGCTGGATGGGAAGTGGAGCTGCCGGGATAGAACCGGCGCCCATATGGGATCCTGGCGTGTTCAAGGTGAGGACTTTAGTCGCTAGGCCACGCCGCCGGGCCCTATGCATAGATTCTTGAAGAATTGTTCACCAGGCATTGCACTAAGCTCTTGAGGTCTGTTGCACCATTTAGCTGGTGTTGAGTGACGCACCACCCCACAACTTAGTGAAGTAGTTCTGGAGTTGCACAACAGTGTAAATGAATGTAGTTAACGCTATTGAACTGCCTACTTTAAAACCGGCTAAAGGACAGGCATTTGGTCTAGTGGTTAAGGCATCTGAATCATGCACTAGAGTGCGTCATATATCTAGTTCCTGATTCTGGCTTCCTTCCAGTACACAACAGGCAGCGGCAATGTCTCAGGTAGTTTTGTTCTTGACACTCATGTAGAAGACCTGGATTGAGTTCTTGGCTCCTGGCTCTGGCCTGGCCCTGGCGTAGCTGGGTCCTGGTCACTGCATGTTGTTGGGGAGTGAACCAGAAGATGGGAGCTCTGTCTGTCTCTCTGTCTCTCTGCCTCCAATTTAAAGAAATCTGTAAAGAAGTTTAAGGTGGACATTTTTAATAAACATTTTTGAAAGACACAGCAATAGAGAGGGAAGGCCAGATCTTCCAAGTGCTGGTTCACTTTCCAAATGGCCCTATAACCAGGTCTAAGTCAGGATTAAGCCAGGAGCCAGGAACTTGTTCTCAGTCTTCCACATGGGTGGTGGGGTCCCAAATACTTGTGCCAGGTATGTTAGCCAAGAACTGAATAAGAAGCAGAACAGCCAGGACTTGAGCCCTGCACACTGATATTGGACACTGACATTGTAAATAGCAACTTAATGTGCTGTGCCACAGTGTTTGTCCCTAGGATGATAGATTTTATGTTTTGTTTTTTTTTAAGATTTATTTTGTTTGTATTGGAAAGTCAGATATACAGAGAGGAGGAGAGACAGAGAGGAAGATCTTCTGTCTGGTGATTAACCCCCCCAAGCGGACACAATGGCTGCAGCTGAGCCAATCCAAAGCCAGGAGCCAGGAGCCCCCTGGGGTCTTTCATGCAGGTACAGGTTCCAAGGCTTTGGGCCATCCTCAACTGCTTTCCCAGGCCAGAAGCAGGGAGTTGGATAGGAAGCAGGGCCACCGGAATTAGAACCAGTGCCCATATGGGATCCTGGCATGTGCAAGGCAAGGACTTTAGCCACTAGGCTACCATGCCGGGCCCTATGTTTTTTAAATATATACATATATGTAGTACAACAACATATTTTTTTAAAAGATTTTATTTTTATTATTTTTTATTGGAAAGGCGAATATACAGAGAGGAAGATCTTCCGTCCGATGATTCACTCCCCAAGTGAGCTCAACGGCCGATACTATGCCAATCCGAAGCCAGGAGCCTCTTCCGGGTCTCCCACGCGGGTGCAAGGTCCTAAAGCCCTGGGCCGTGCTCAACTGCTTTCCCGGGCCACAGGCAGGGAGCTGGAAGGGAAGCGGGGCTGCCGGGATAGAACCGGTGCCCATATGGGATCCCAGGCGTGCAAGGCGAGGACCTTTAACCACTTGTGCCACCACGCCAGGCCCAACAACATATTTTTAAAGATTTATTTGAAAGGTAGAATTAGAGAGATCCTCCACCCCCCCCCCCTTTTTTCTTTTGCGTAGCAGTAAATTAGATATAGTTCCACAATTTTTTAAAAAGTTATTTTTTATTTAATATGCTTTTATTTTTCCAAATATAAAATTCAGGCTGTGTTCCCCAGCCTTGATATTTCCTGCATAAATCACTTGAACTTTGTGCTACGAATCCAGTTTGGGTCTCCTGAAGGGCTCTCCTGACAGGGACCCCGCAAATCTCCGAGACCAAACTGGAGCCACAAGCTTAGAGCGGAGACCCTCCTTACAGGATTTGTTGTAAGTGGCCTAGTCCAACAAAACCACGTGATTGAGCTCGTTTCCAGCTCTATCTTTGCACCATTTCTTCTTAGTCTCGCCTCCTGGTTTGATCATGGGGTCTTCATGTCTCTCGGCCGACTATGCAGCATCTTTCTCCACGTCCTTGGGCAGTGTGTGACGTTTGCAGAGCTCTGGGGACTACTACTGCAGCCTTGCAAGATGTCAGACAAAAAGCTGTTGGTTGTTTTTCATTTGATTTCACAGGCAGAATGATAGAGATCTTGGCATCTACTTTAAGTTTGTGCCCTAAAGTCCCCAGTAAACAATGCCTGGGCCAAGCCGTCATCAGGAGCCAGGAATTCTCATCTAGGTATCCCACTGCTCCACTTCTCATCCAGCTCCCTGTTTATGGCCTGGGAAAGCAGTGGAGGATGGCCAGGTCCTTGGGTCCCTGCATCCAGTGGGAGACCCAGTGGAAGCTCCTGGCTTCCTGCTTCAGATCAGCCCAGCCCCATCATTGTGGGCATTTGGGGAGTGAATCAGGAGATGGGAGAACTTTCTGCTTGTCTATCCTCTCTGTAAATCTGCCTTTCAAAAAAAAAAGAAAGAAAATTTTGAAAAGGTACATGAGAAAAAACAACATACTAATGCTGTGATCCCCTTAGGACCCACTTAATATTCTAGTGTGACTTTACGTGATTTCCTGCTGGCAAATAAGCCTTGTATGTCTTTTTAATCACTCCAGTGTCTCCCAAGTCTTTTTTTTTAAATAATTTTTTTTTTATTTTGACAATCTTTACATAGTTAATTAGGGTAAAAAGGTTCAAGGGCTACAGGAAAGTGGATAAGACTATTATTTTTCCCAAATTGTTTCCTTCATGTTTAAAGGGGGGTATTAAGGGAGAAGGCCCACCCAATTTCCCACCCTCCCCAGGTCCCGGATGTAGGGCATGCTCTGAGGATCTTGCTCAAGTGGTTTTGATATTTCAACAGTTATGAATCGCTGCCAATCTTGCCACTCCAAGCACTATGAGGTCTTTGAAAATGAAAAATCCACTGATTTGACATAGTCCATCGTAGCTGAGATGGTTGGTTGACCTGTTCTGTCTTCTCTCTTTTCTTGGTTAGAGTTCTGAGTCCAGCATTTAGATGAGGAAGATCTCCAAAGAAACTTTGTGCAAGTCTCCTAAAAACAGGTTGGGCCTGGGAAGCCAGGGGAAGATGACCCAAGTCGTCTGATGCTATGATCTGCCACTCCTGTGGGACACCCGAATGGAGCTCATTGACTGAGCCCAGGCTGTTGTGGCCATTTGGAGAATGGACCAGCAAAATCTCTCTTTCTGTCTCGTCTCTTTCCCTTTCTCTGCTTTCAATCTTTTAAAGAAGGTGGAGGAGACTTGTGGGGAACTCTTGGTACTTTGTACTCAAAACTGCTTTTCAAAGGAAAAGCCTATGTAACAGGCTACACACAGGGAAGCAGCAATTCTTTCAGACTCCCTTGCCTTGAAAATAAGGCTTTCGTCTCTCACCCCCAGAAACACACTGCTTGTTTTCCTTAGGGAAGAGCAAAGTTCAGGAAAAGGCTCACTTCATTTCACTAATTTCGAAGGGAAAGGCAAGAAGAAATCCTACAAGAGGGAGCCAGCTTTCCAAAGGACTCTAGATGCTTCGCAGGCGTAAGAAAAACGACAGCCAGACAGTAATGAAGTGGTAAAAGCAGAGTTGTATTTGGGGGGAAGAAAGATTGCAACAGGTAGAGAAAAGTTATGTTGAGAACTGCGCATAGTTCCAAATATGTACGGAGAAAAAGAGAGGTCACAGTGGCGCCCTGGGTGGATAGGAGGCCCAGACAGTAAAGGGGCGGCTCCGAACCAAGGAGCAGGTCGAGTTGAGAATTCAGCAGAACCTGTCGGAAGTTTGGTCCTGGAGAGACTGTTAGAGAGGAAGCCCAAGCTGCTCCCAGATGGCCTGCGTTCCTTCTGCAGCTGTGGGAGTTTCTGGGCGAAGGGCTGTGGCTTTCTGGGCCGGGTGGGCGGGGGCGGTGATGGGGCGGGGCCTGGGGCGGGGCGGCCTCCACTTGTGGGGGGCGGGTGGACGGGCGCTCGCCGAACTCAGCTGTGATGGGCGGGGACCGAGTGGGAGTGGCCTGGGGCGGGGCGACCTACACGTGTGGGGCGGGCGGGAGTTGGCCCAACTCGGCCTACGCAGTTGTGTGTATTTGGAGATCCCGTTACGCCCCTCACTGGGAGCTTCCCAGCTCTGCTGGGCTCTATGGAGGAAAAATTCCGCTGGGCCCTCCATTCCCATGGCCGCAGCCGCCTGCAGCACCAAGGCCATGGCCCTGTTCAAGCGCACCTTGGTGCTGAGCCCCGCTGCAGCGCCCAGGGGCCCCAGCACTGGTGCCCCACCGCGGGGCTGCCCCTTGCCTCCCGCCGCCTGGCCCTGCAAGGACTGGCTGCGGGGAGAGGGCATTGGCGGCAGGCTGTGGAGCCCGGCAACAGCTGGCCGCCTGCCCCAGTCCCACTCCTGCTGCTCCACGCCACCCAGCGCCGTGTGTGTTCTCTGCCCGCAGGACTCGCTCAGCAGCAGCATGAAAACTTGTTACAAGTATCTAAATCAGACCAGTCGCAGTTTCGCAGCTGTCATTGAGGCGCTGGATGGGGAAATGCGGTGAGTGGCAGATGGGCAGTGAGGCCTTGGTCTTGGGGGAGGAAAGATTTTCCAGGGACAGTTGAGTCATTGGACACTACTTTGGGAGCGCTTGCTCATGGCTTGGCCAGAACGTGGCCTCGCCTGCGTGCAGGAACTGTTCGGGGCTGGAGATGTCTGCGTGTTTACTTTAGAATGCCCTTCCAGGTACCTGGCCATCTACTAGTGTCCCTGCAGGCCCAACTCTCGGGGAGAAGGGAGGGGGATGGGGATGTTTATTCACTTTTTTTAGTCCTGGCTGCTGAACCTACGTCCTAGTAGGTCATGTATTTCCTTGGCTTCCCTTACTCCGCCTTGCATTTCTGGCATTGCAGGTTAATTCCTCTGAAGCTGCTTTTGTGCAGAATACATATAGCAGTCTACATCAGCTGCCTTCATGGCGATCTCTTGTATAATGAGAAGTTGTGTTTTTCTTTGTTTTTTTGGTGTACAAGCCAAATTTCTATTTGCTCACTTGTTGCATTTCAATGGTCTTTGGTGCCATCTTTGTCCTGAGGGATTCTTTGCCAGAATCCTTCACCACCTGCAGCCGGCCACGTTATGGGGTTGCCTCTCGATCAGTTTTACAGAGGACTACCCACTGCCCAGGTTTCTTGTCATCAACCTTTATAGGGAAGATCTGGTGGTCAGCACTCTGGGTCTGTGCCAGCTTGGCATACATGGACGCATCATGATTACATGCAGGCACCCAGAGGTGGGCTTGGCGCCTGGCTAAGGCCTTGGCAGCTTCCTGACTGCACGTGCTAGGCCATTGTGGATGAGGCCAGTCTTTGACACCTCTTGTAAAGCAGCAGTAATGGCCACGGCCCCTGGCAGCAGCAGTGCATTCCTTGGCCATGGTGGTGGGCTAAGGGCGAAGCTGAATCTTGAATGCAGCCAGGCCTCCACCTCCGTGTGATGTGAGCAGCAGGCAAAGAGCAGCTTTCTTTTTGGTCTGCAGAGTGTTAGTTTGGTCTCAGCATTGGGTCCATGCAGTTGTTCTACATCAGTTAAATTAACTCATGCTGAAAGTTAATAACTCAGCTGGTCGTTTTATTTAAAATAAACTGCAGAGATCTGTTATACCTAAGAAAAGAAAGCTAGTGTAAGTTTCAGTAAGTGTGAAAGGCCCTGGGTATCCTTTCATAGTTCTATAGTGTTGAGAAATTGACCTGCAGGGCCCAGCGTGATAGCCTAGTGGCTAAAGTCCTCGCCTTGTACATGCTGGATCCTATGTGTATAATCCTGGCGGCCCCGCTTCCCATCCAGCTCCCTGCCTGTGGCCTGGGAAAGCAGTCGAGGATGAAAAGAAAGCCTTGGGATCCTGTACACATGTGGGAGACCTGGAAGAGGCTCTTGGCTCCCAGCTTCAGATTGGCACTCCAACCATTGTGCCCACTTGGGGAGTGAATCAGCAGACAGAAGATTTTTCTCTTTGTCTCTCCTCCTCTCTGTGTATCTGCCTTTCCAATAAAAATAAAGCTTAAAAAAAAGAAAAGAAAAGAAATTGGCCTGCATATGGGGCAAGTGTTGTTGCATGGTGGGTTGAGCCACTGTCTGCCAACTCTAGCATCCTATATGGGTACTGATCCATGTCCCTGTTGCTCCAGTTCCAGTCCAACTCCCTGCTAATGACCTGAGAAAATGAGTGGAAAATGGCCCAAGCATTTGAGCTCTCACATGGGAGGCCTGGATGAAGCTCCATTCTTGGTGCTGGCCCAGCACTGGCTGTTGCAACTCTCTAGGGAATGAACCCATGAAGGGAGATCTGTGTCACCCTCTCTTTGTAACTCTTTCAAAATAAATAAATCTTGGCAGGGTAGGAGAGTAAAAGTAAAAGAAAATGGCCTGCACAAATTAGATGTTATCTTGAGCTGTGTGTCTTTGGATGTTCTCTTGTGTTAATGGTTCCTCTTTTCTCACAGCCATGCAGTATGCATATTTTATTTGGTTCTCCGGGCTCTTGACACCGTGGAAGATGACATGACCATCAGCGTGGAAAAGAAGATTCCACTGTTGCACAACTTTCACTCTTTCCTTTATGAACCAGAGTGGCGATATATGGAGAGCAAGGAGAAGGACCGACAAGTGTTGGAGGACTTCCCAACGGTAGTGGCATTCATTCCATGGTTCTTCTGCCCACATTTGTGTTTGTCCTGGGTTCTGTAGTTGTCAGCCTGCATGCCATGGAGAGCGGTAAAGTCAGCAGTGTGTGAGAGCAGCACACAGGGATGGGCAAGGACCTGGGCAGCCAAGATCCTGAAGCTGACTGCCTGGGTTGCTGTCCTGGTGGTTGGCTGTACAGTTTCTCTATGCCTCAATTCTTTTCATCTGTAGTATAGGGAGTGTGGTGGTACCTACTATATAGCATTGTCGTGAGGACTAAAGGAGTTGATAGAGGAAAGTTCTTGTAACAGAACCAGCTGCTATTTGATGGCTAGTATGTTGCACTGAAATCCAGTGTGTCTTCCTGTGGTAAAATGCATCCCAATGGCAGTGTTGTGGAAGAAGAACTTTGAGGATAGCTCCCACACTCACCATGTGATATGATTGCGTTCTAGAACATGCTGGGCCTTGTGGCATGATATTTGCTGCTCAGGAGGGTTAGGAACATGGGACGGGAGGTGAGCGGGGGGAAGGGGCGGAGCTTGTTTTCCAGCTAGACTTAGGGTTGAGAAGCAGGAGGGTGCTCAGCTGTGTGACCCTGCGAGTAGTGCCTCACTGTCTTTTTGTAAAGGTAGAACTGTGCAGATCACGTCTACAGCCATACCACCCTGAACGCGCCCGGTCTCATCTGATCTCGGAAGCTAAGCAGGGTCGGGCCTGGTTAGTACTTGGATGGGAGAACTGTGCTGATCAGATAATTTCATACCTGTCATGTACTTAGAATAGTGATCACAATTGGTGCATACTCATTGTTCTCTGAATATTAACTATGTTGTCCATCTTGGTGGAATAAAAGTGGCAATTAGAACCTTAAGCTGTAGTGTTCCTCACATTTTTAGTGTGTGACTGTGTCCCACTTTCCTAGGATTTTCATGTCTTAGCACATAAATAATGGATTCTTCCTTTTTGTATCAGTAAGAGTTGGATATATCAAAGTTCCTTCACAGCCTAAAGAAGTCCATGTTGTGTACATTTGCCCGACTTGGGGAGCAGGACAGTGCTTGTATGGGAAGGAGCTGGGTGTGCAGAGGAGAGTCCACTTACTACAAAAGGACATTTCAGAAAGCTTTCAGAGCAAGGGCTACTTTTGTTGGCTGAAGTCGCATGTCTAGTATCAGGGTCCAAAATATAATACGGAATGATCCCAATAATAAACAGTCTGTGAAGATTGAGACATTAGGGCTGTAGCCCAGGACAGGTGCTGGTGATTTAGCCGTCATAGGACTCCTGCTGACCAGGGCAGGGCCCTGACTGGACATCTGTGACTGTTGACAGATAAGCCTTTGGACCCTTTAAGGCAGGTAAAGTCCTGCAGATTGGGCACACATCAGTCATATTATGTTTTTACTTAAAGATAAACTGGTATCTGCCAAAGGCGAAAATAGCTTTCCAGACTCCTTTTGCATTGATTAGATTCCGTACATATAATTTCTGGTCATGGGATCAATGCTTTAGGTAATATAAAAAAACAAGGCTGGGATGGGCATTTGGTATAGCAGTTAAGGCCTGGCTTGGGGCACTCGTACCCACCATATGGGCATCCAGTACCAAAGTGCCAAAGGAGTACCAGCTCCTCTTCCAACTCTGTCTTCCTGCTAATGTGTACCCCAAGAGGCAGCAGGTGATAACTCAAGTATGTGGGCCCCTGCTACCTGTGTAGGAGAGACCCACATTCAATTTCTGGTTCCTGGCTTAGTCTAGTCCAACTTTTGTTGGAGTAGACCAGTGGATGGAAGATTTCTCTTTATTTCTCTCCCTGCCTTTCAAATGTTTGTAGAAAATGAACAAAGTGATAGATTTTTAAAAATTGACCTTAATAATTTTGGGTAGTAAAGCTGATACATTTCCAGGCACTATTCCAACATATTTGTCAAACCTGAGAGCCTCTATATTTATAGCATCCCAAGGAACATGAAATGATCTTTTCCATTTTGGGTAGTGGGAATAGAAAGCAGAGGCTTTATCACTACAGACAGAATAAAGGAAGCAGAAAGCTCAGGACAGGCACTGTGATTGTGATGGTGCTTGTTAGCTTTTTATAGCCTTGGACTGTCAAGTCGTATGAAGCTACGTTTTGTGGGCACGTATGATTTTAAGCTTCTTAAGTTTGAAGTCCTTTCAGTCTGATTCAGCTGGAGATAGGAATAGATAGAAATTGTCTTCTTAGGAAATGACCTGTGCATGTGCTGGTGCATGGTTCAGTTAGTTGCCTGGTGTTAGGCTACTGTCAGCTTTTGACCAGGTTTTAGGACAGAACAAGTAGCTTAAAGGATTGGGAGTTTGGCCTCATTTGCATAGTTCTGCTCTTAGACTTACTTAATTTTTTTTTTTTTTAATATTCCCACGATCCAGGAACTCAATCCAGGTCTCCCACAGATAAGAACCCAAGTATTTGAGAAATCATCCACTGGTTCCCAGCTCATCAGTAGGGAGCTGGAATGAAAGCACAAAGTACCCAGGATTCAAACCTGTACCCTAAAATAAGATGCTAGCATCCTACATACTAGCTTAACACTGTATCACAATGCTTGCCCTAAAGGGCTCCTCAGTCTGCAGGGCCTGACTCGGGGCCTCCTTACCTCAAAGGTGCAAGGAGTGCCTGGAGCCTTGGGAATGAATTGGCCATATCTTATGTCCTTCCCCTTCTCGACCACTGTTATGGATGTCTGGAGTCCCTGGGTCTTTGTCATTTCCTGAGCCTGTGTCCAGGGTCTGACCCTCTGCTTTCTTAAGATCATGTCTTCTTTAATGGAACATGCCACCAGAAACTGCCCTGAGGCCTGAGTGGTGACCAGGGACTGTGTTTGGGAGAGTTATGGATGAAGCTGTTCCTACTGGCTGGAGTATCCTTACAGACAAGTGTGAAGTTCTACCCAGAGCCATACAGAACTGGGGTGGGAAGGGAAGGGGGCTGGGGATCCACAGTCCCTGCCCTGCTGCATCTTGGAGCAAAACTGTTATGGACCAAGCATTTTAGATTCAAACCTGAGCCATCCAGGCTCTTGGGGCAGGAGAGAACATACTTAACAAGTTCAGTGCATCATTTCAGATGTTTTAGCCATGTTTGGTATATGGGTCTCCATTGCCCTTGTGTCCCAGGTCCACAAAATTCAGGAACAAGCCTAGATAACATAATCTAGCCAAATAACTTGACCTCTGTACAGCCAATTTATGTCTTGAGATTAAACCTGGTGCTTTATGCTTAGGTATCATTTGTTGATACTATTTCAAGTCCTGCTTCCTAGAATTCTTGTGTAATATAGATCCAATTAGAGGGTCATTGTCCCTTGGTCTAGAGAAAATCTCTGGCTATGCAAGTCCCTTGTACAAAGTGGTACAATATTTGCAATCTTCCCCGTGCTTTAGTCCTGCCTAGACTTCTGATATCTCATATAGTGTACATCCTGTGCTCGTTGTTGTACTGTAATACTAGGGGGAGTAACACAAAATTTGCATGTTTGGTATCAGCATATTTTGTTTAGTGAATGTTTTCAGTGTGCAGTTGATAGAATCCAAAGATGTAGAGCCCATGCATATGGAAGCTCACATAGCATCTTACCGCAAGTCTTAGAGCAGGAAGTAATATAGTGTTTGATTTTTTTTAATGAATTTTATTTCATTTTGAGAGAGACCTCTTGTCCATTGATTCACTTCCTAAATGTCCACAGTAGCTGAAGCTGGACTGGGCTGGAGCTGGGAGCAGGGATGTCATCCAGGTCTTCCGGATGAGTGGCAGGGAGCTCATTGCTTGGGTCACCTGGACTTAAATCCAGGCACTCTGAAATGGTACACAGGCTTATTTTCTTTCTTTCTTTCTTTTTTAAACATTTGTTTATTTTTATTGGAAAAGCAGATTTATTGAGAGAAGGAGAGAAAAAGATCTTCTGTCCACTGATTCACTCCCTAAATGGCCACAATGGCCAAAGCTGAGCCAATCCAAAGCTAGGAACCAGGAGCTTCTTCCTGGTCTCTAACATGGGTGCAGGATCCCAAGGCTTTGGGCCATGCTCTACTGCTTTTCCAGGCCATAAGCAGGGAGTTGGATGGGAAATGGAGCAGCCAGGCACAAACTAGCACCCATATGGGAATCCCGGTGCTGATATGGTGAGGATTTAGCTGGTTGAGCCATTGTGCTGTGCCCGGACACACAGGTTTCTTAATTGCTAGACTGAATTGCTTTTTTTTTTTTTTTTCTGGCCAGAGCTGAGGCGGTCTGAAGCCAGGAATCACGAACTTCTTCTGGGTCTCCCAAGTGGGTGCAGGAGCCCAGCAACTTGGGCTCTCCTGATGCCTTCCCAGGTCATTAGGCAGGGAGCTGCTGGGACTCAAACTGGTGCCCACATGGGATGCTAGCCCGCTAGGTGGAGGCGTGACCCGCCCACAGAGCCCACAGGCCTCATATCAGTGTTTTCTATGATTACCTGTGAAGTGGTAGAATCCAGATTCAAATTCAACCTGTTTTGTATTTGATCATTGGAATAATTAGCTGCCTCTTATAAACTGTAAAAAAAAAAAAAAATCAAGCCAAAAAAACCCCCTCTACATATATTAGCATTTGAAAACAGTGTTTCATGATTTATGATGAGGGGAGTTAGAGTTTACAGGGGACTTGGGATTTGGCCTTTGCCTATTCTGTCTGTGGACTGCCATCACATGCTTGCTTCGTGTGCTCATAGTCGCTGGGAAGTGCACTGAGGACCGAGGCATCCCCTGGGCTAGAGCCGCTGGCTGGAGGGGCTGCTGAGGGCTGCCCTCTCACCGCAGCACTGGTTGCTGTGCCTGCGGAGCGTGTACAGCTGGGCATGGAGCCTGGAGCTGGCAAAGCCCTCTTCTGCCCTTGGGTTCGCTCACTTCTTGGATATTTTTATTTTCATGTTGAGAATTGCACAATTTAAAAAGTTACTGGGGGAGGGGGCGCATCTCTGTCTCTGCGGACACAAGATGAGCGCAGGAACATCTCTCGCCCACCTTTCCCCTCCTGTACCCACTCTGCCCCTCAGTGTGTTCCTGTGACTTCCTCACCTTCTAAAGAAACGGGACAAAACAAACAAGCAAAAATGTTTTGATTTTTAAAAGGGGCATTGCAAAAGAAGTGAGAAAATGTTTATTTTTAGCTCCTCCTCCCCACCCTCACTGGCCTTTTCTTCTATAAATAGAACTGGGCTGGTCAAGGATCTGTGTAAAGAAGAGTCCTAGAGAGACTTGGGGTTCACAGAACTCCAGCACGAGGTGCATGTGTCTTCCATCCTCGCTTGGAATCCCCTCTGGGCTGTCTTAGAACAGCTGCTCTGAAAGAAGCAGGGCTTGGAAATTGATTTTATGGGTTTTAGGGGATTTAACAATGGATTTAACAAGTGTCGTGATTTTTTAATAGTTTATTTTGATAACCTCAACATTTTGAATTTAAGCAAGATGTTTCTGCAGTAGCAATGAACTTAAATATCAGTGCTACCTTTCTTTAAAAATTTTTTTTTTTAAACAGAGTTACATAAAGGGAAGGAGCGACAGATCTTTCTGCTGGTTCACTCCCTAAGAGGCTGGAGCTGAACAAATCCAAAGCCAGGAGCCAAGAGCCCCCTCAGGGTCACCCACGTGGGTACAGGGACCTGAGGCCTTGGGCCATCCCACTGCTTTTCCCAGGGCATAAGGAGGGAGTTGGATCCGAAGTGGAGCAGCTGGGACACAAGATAGTGCCTACATGGAATGTCGGCGCTGCAAGGGAGAGGCTTAGCCTGCTGAGCCACCTCACCAGCCCTATCACTGTTTCTTTCCTACATTAGAGCTTGGGCCATGAGAAGGAAAAATACTACCTCATATTGAGTCAAGTTGCTTAAGGAAATTAGATATAGCCTTACACTGAGAGGATACACTATGGCTTCATGCTATGGATTCAGAAACTGGTAACTAGGGTATGGCTGGCTAATCTCACAGAATAGGACCAATAAGGCTACAGGTTTGTGTTTCTTTCCCTAATGTCTATTCCCAGTGCCTAGGGCAGGACTTGTCAGGTAGAACACACAAATGAATCTTGGCCATAACAAGGTTTCTGTGAAGCAAGACATTCTTCCTAAAATTCTTTTTTTTTTTTCTTCCTAAAATTCTTACACTTAGGTCCTACTATGTGTAGAAGCAGCTCATTCATTACATATCAGAAAGATGAATGTGTAATGAGAGTTTGAATTTCGTTTGAGTCTTAAAGCATTAACATTTCTATTTTGAATTTTTATGAAATGTATAGAGCTTATTATTTGGAATATAAGGAAGTATAATTGAGGCTGAGTGTACAGATTAACCGTTGGGGGTGCCATCCCGAGGGAGTGGCTCATGTGTTCTTCTTTATTTCTGCTTTTCAGATCTCCCTAGAATTTAGAAATTTGGCTGAGAAATATCAAACGGTGATTGCCGACATTTGCCGGAAGATGGGAATGGGGATGGCAGAGTTTTTGGAGAAGCACGTGACCTCTGAACAGGAGTGGGATAAGGTCAGTGTCTGAGCATGGGACGTGGGCTGAGACCCAGTGGTCTTCATCCTGGAGTGAAGAACAAGGAAGAAGTGTGCTAGCTCCAGGTTTTCTAGTTTGACTAGTCCCTGTTAAGAGTTAAAAATCACATTTACTGAGACCTCAGCTGAGAGATGAAGGGTTTTACTGATGTAATGAAAGTATAGCTCTTAAACTGGATTTCCTGGTTTTGGAGCTCTGGCCTCTTGGTTTCCTCCTCTGTGATATCAAGGTGATAAGATGTCCTTGATGATTGAAAATGCAGAGTGCTTCCAACAGTGTGAAGGCGTGGTGGGGATACTTTGTTCTGAGCTCTCATTGGATGGCGGTCGATGTTAAGTCGTCTGTGCACAGTCCATCCATGTGCCGGCACATACTTGTTTACTTGTGTTTTATAATCAAATGAGATCTTGAACATTCTGCTTGGAACCTGCCTTTTCTGTAACTAATTATCTCTGATGTTTCCATTTTAGTTAGCATGACTACTGAAGCACTTTGAAAATGATCTTTTACAGTACTGTCACTATGTCGCTGGACTGGTGGGAATTGGCCTTTCCCGGCTCTTCTCAGCCTCGGAGTTTGAAGATCCCTTAGTTGGTGAAGACGTAGAGCGTGCCAACTCTATGGGCCTGTTTCTGCAAAAAACAAACATAATTCGCGATTATCTGGAAGACCAGCGAGAAGGGAGAGAGTTTTGGCCTCAAGAGGTAACAAGATTCAGAATATTTGGGGGAAAAAATAATTTTACACATGCTCTGTAAACTAATCATAAATCTTTTGTATTTGGAAGTGACAGAATGCAGGTCAAACTGCCTTAGGCTGTGTAAGTGTGAAATAGGTTAAGATTTAGTCTGCTTCAGATAGGCTGAAGCTACTGAGATCCAGGGAGGTGAATATTAGAGTATAGACCTGCTTATTCTCCCCAAATGTGCTTGTCCTGCATTCTTACCAGGTGGAGCACTCTAATGTTAATCATTAATTATCTTAGGCCTGGTCATCTTGGCGATGTTTAATGATTTAGTCTGTGGTACTATTGTAGCTAATTTTGTTTATAGATAGGTGTCTTTTTTTTTTTTTTCTTTTTCAGGAATAAACTCCTCCTCAGTTGAGGTCATTAAAATACTGCTTTGTACATGCTGCAATAATTGTCTCCAAGAACATTCCTATTAATTCACTCCAGCGTTGTGATTGGGCCCTGAATGGTGGTTTTAAATGGCTATGGCATTGAAACCTCCCTGGTGTTGGTAGCTGAGTCAATGGCAAAGGGAATTTTGCTATATATTACAGTTCCTACTCTGAACGATCCATTATTATTATTTGTAAATTCACCCCTGCTACACATGTTGACTCGCTGTTTATCTGTCTAGGTTTGGAGCAGATATGTTAAGAAGTTGGGGGATTTTGCTAAGCCAGAGAATATTGACGTGGCTGTGCAGTGCCTGAATGAACTGATAACCAATGCCCTGCACCACATCCCTGATGTCATTACCTACCTTTCAAGACTTAGGAATCAGAGTGTGTTTAACTTCTGCGCTATCCCACAGGTATGGAAGGGCCAAGGCCAAGCAGGAGCTAAAGGGAACAGGGTGCTGGTGAGGATGGGTGGGTGCACTCAGTATTTGGCTCTGCTGTATTTCAGGGGTGTGAGTCCTTTCAAAGATGTCCATTTGCTGTTGCTGCTGGGCAGGAAGTGATTCACATGACCCACGTTGTCTCCCAGCCATTTTCTTAGCTCTGCCTCCAGGCTAAGTCTACTCTCCCTTCCTCCTACCCCCAGCTTCCTCTTGGACTTTTCCATCAATTTTTTTTTTAATTGGAAAGTCAGATGTACAGAGAGGAGAAGAGACAGAGAGGAAAATCTTCTATCTGCTGATTCACTCCCCAAGCGGCCACAACTGTGGGTGTTGTGCCGATCCAAAGCCAGGAGCCAGGAGCCTCTTCCAGGTCTCCCACATGGGTGCAGGGTCCCAAGGCTTCGGGGCTGTCCTTGACTGCTTTCCCAAGTCACAAGCAGAGAGTTGGATAAGAAGCGGGGCCACTGGAATTAGAACCAGTGCCCATATGGGATCCTGGCATGTGCAAGGCAAGAACTTTAGCCTCTAAGCTATCTGGCCCTCCTGTCGGTTTTTCTGAACTAATTAGATCAGTATGTTGAATTGAGGGCTTCAGTCTATTTTCATTGAGAGTGCTAGGTAAAAGCTGATGAAGTTGTTACTGAGCAGCTTATAACTACTGTACTTTTCCTAGATTTGGGATTACAAAACTTGAGCTTACAGACCTAACCCGTGATATTCTAGGAGTTGATCCCAGTTGCCTTTAAAAGTTACTTCAATTATTAATCAAATAAGTGAAGAAAGTAGTAGCATTTAACTGATTGGGAAAACTTGGCTGTTGTTCTAAGGACCAGCTTTGAATAGAGGCTGACACTAAAATCTGTATTCCTGTCTTAGGTCTCCAGCTATTCTAGAAATTACCTTTGAGGAAATCATCTCCCTTCTGTCACCCTCCTTTGTATTCTTTTGTGTTTTATTTGAAAGGCAGAGAGGCAGAAATATCTTCCATCTACTGGTTTATTCCTGCACATGCCTGCAACAGTTAAGTCTGGGCCAGGCTGAAACCAGGAGCCCAGAACTCAATCCTTGCCTCCCAGCTGGTGTCAGGAACCCGACTACTTCAGCCACCCCCTGCGGCCTCCCAGGGTATATGTTAACAAGAATCTGGATTGGAAGTAGAGCTGAAACTCAAATTCAGGACTGTCATGAGGGGTGCAAATGTCCCAAGTGATGTCCCAACTGCTGCACTAAACACCCTGCCCTCCAGTTTTTAATATACAGTGAATGTTCATTGTAGGAAAAATAGGAAAGCAACCACAAATAGAAGAGCTTTTCCTGATACCATTTTGAAATGTATATTTCTTATCTAATAACTGTATACTATTACATGGGAAGTGTGTCGTTTGCTCATATTTATTTCTCCTGAATAAAGTGGAACCACTGTGGCTAAATGACAGAATCATTTCAGATTGAAAAAACTACTTGATGGGCTATGGATGCAGCTTAGCTTGAGCCACTGTCTGCGATCCTGGCACTTGATGTGTGTACTGGTTTGAGTACCAGCTGCTCCACTTCCAATCCAGCTCCCTGCTAATGCACCTGGGAGAGCAGCAGGAGATGGCCCAAGTACTTGGGTCCCAGCCTCCCAGGTACAAGAACCATTAGAGGCTCCAGGCTCCTAGCTTTGGCCTGGCACAGCCCTGGCCATTGTTCTCATATGGGGTGTGGAGCTGTGGATGGAAGATATTTCTCATTTTCTCTCTGTATGTCTCTATCTGTAGGTATATCTGCCTTTCAAATAAAAATGTAAAAAGAAACAAATTTTTTTCTAAAAGACTGCTTGATTGTATTGGCGAAGAAAAGGAAGGGGTGGGCAATACTTGTGTTATAGCGTGGCACGCTAAGCCTCCACCTGTGATGTCAGCATCGTATGTGGACACCAGTTTGAATCCCAGCAACTCCACTCCCAAACCAGCTCTCTGCTAGTGGCCCAGGAAGGCTGCAGACGAGGGCCCAAGTCCTTGGATCTCTGCACCGGCATGGGAGCTCAAGAACATGATCCTGGCTGCTGGTTTCAGACCAACCTAGCTTTAATTGTTGTGACCATCTGGGGAACGTACTAGTGGATGGAAGAACTCTGTCTCTCCCCCTCTATCTGTAATGGGAGGGGTAGGAAAAGTATTACTCTTAAGATACTGTCTTCACGGATCATTTTCCTTGACTCATTAGCTCTTTACGCTTTGGGTGTTGTTCATTTACAGAAAGTCTCAATCTTTTCCTGAGGACAACTGCTTTAGCACCATTTCTAGTTTTTTTTTTTTAATCATGAAATAAAAATGCATTTGGTTTTCTTCCTTGTCTTCCGTAGGTAATGGCCATCGCTACTTTGGCTGCCTGTTACAACAATCAGCAGGTTTTCAAGGGTGTCGTGAAGATTCGGAAGGGGCAGGCAGTCACCCTCATGATGGATGCCACCAATATGCCAGCCGTCAAAGCTATAATATGCCAGTATATGGAAGAGGTGGGTTTCACCTGGATGAATTGTAGTTACTTTTGTGATCTAGGTCATGCCAGTATGTAGTCATGTGATATTTGGGTGTTAGTTGTACTAACAGCTCACAGGAATCTGTATCCTTCCTAGGAGATAAATATGTGCACAGGAGCTGGGTTCAGAACTGCCTGGGGCCCCAGGAAGGGGCCTGGCAGTGGAGCCAGGGTTAGGCCTCAGCTAAGTGGAGCTGTGTGTCTTGAGCTGGGAGGTGGGGTTAGAGGCCCCTGGGCTCCTTGTTTCAGGGTGAGGAGAGTGAGGCAGAACTTGAGTGTGTTTGCCTGGAGCATGACGGAGTGGACCTCAGGCGCTGTCCTTGTCCTCATCCCCTGTTGTGCTGCAGGCTTGGCTGCTACTGCAACCGGGGATTCCAGTGATCGGAAAGCTTTCTTCTGCAAATGTGATTTCAAATCTCAAACTATGCGACAAAGCAAAATACACCTATTCAGGTCATGTCTCCGACCATGAGGGGTTCAAAAATGATCTTCTTGGAGGCTTGAATTCTAATTCTGAGCCCCAGAGGGTATTTCTCCGAGATGATTTTTCCTCCTGCCCCCCTGCGTCGCCCCGCAGGAGCCGCTAGGTGGTCAGTATCTGGAGAGGTTTCTGTGTGTCATGAAGAACAGGAGCAGGTGCTGCTGGCAACTGTCGAGGTCTGACACGATGCTTAGATACGATCTGGTTGAAGTTAGACATGCTACAGAAGTTTATGAAAACAAAAAAGACCCTCGTCTTCCTCCCGAGGCTGTGCTCCCTCCTGAGTGAGCCCCTCGGCAGTCTGTGTGGCCTGCCAGGCCCCTTGTTAAGCTTCTGTAGGGATGTCGTTGGTCACAGGGCTTTCCTCCACGCAGAAGCCCACTGCACCACATATTCTCCTTGCGTTACCTGCCTGCATTTCCTCCCTGCCTTCCACCTGACAAGTTGCAAACATCAACCTTTTCTGCCAGAGGCGTCTACCTGTACGTGGTCTAAGGGAAGACTGAAGCTTTGTTTTAACACCTGAAATGTTAGTGGGTAGATGTGCACATTCAGCCATTGGTCCAAAAACGATTACCGGTGGAACAGTCCACATGAGCATGCAACAGTTACAGGAAGCAGACAGCTGACTGCTGGTGTTGCCAAGGAGACTGGAGGCCCCAGCTTCGTGGCCAGACCCAGCACCTGGAGCCAGACCTCTCTCATTTCAGAGCCTATACTGTTGACCACTCTAAGCAGCTAAATTACCTTTCTAAATGGAGTAGTGTCACACTGTACGCTGTTTCTTCATTTTCTGTAAGTTAGAAACATTTATATAGTATATTGTTAAGGGAGCATTTTGATTTTCTAAGTTTTTTTTAAAAAATATTTTATTTAATTTTATTGCAAAGTCAGATATACAGAGAGAAGAGACAGTGAGGAAGATTTTCCGTCCGATGATTCACTCCCCCCTAAGTGACCGCAAAGGCTGGAGCTGAGCCTATCCAAAGCCAGGAGCCAGGAGCCTCTTCCAGGTCTCCCATGTGGGTGCAGGGTCCCAAGGCTTTGGGCCATCCTCTACTGCTTTCCCAGGCCACAAGCAGGGAGCTGGATGGGAAGTGGAGCTGCCAGGATTAGAACCAGCACCCGTATGGGATCCAGGCATGTTCAAGGTGAGGACTTTAGCCCCTAGACCATTGCACTGGGCCCTCTAGTTTTTTCTAATATATATTTTTCAAAGATTATTTTTTATTTAAAAGGCTGATTTAACAGAGAGGAGAAGGAGAAAAGAGATTTTTCATTCACTGGTTCACTCCTTAAATGGTTGCAGTAGCTGAAGCTGAGCCAGTCTAAAGCCAGGAGCTCTTTCCAGGTCTCCCACCTGAGTGCAGGGAGGACCAGCCTCCCACCTGGACCAGCCTCTGCTGCTTTCCCAAGCCATAAGCAGGGAGCTGAATGAGGAAGTGGAGCAACTGGAACTTGAACCATATGGGAAATTGGCCCTGTAGGTGAAGGATAAGTCATGGTGCCAGCCCCACTAATTTTTGTGGTCTTTCTTTCTTTTCTTTCTTTCAAGATTTTAACATTTTAAGATTTGTTTGCTGGGGCTGGTGCCCACAAAATACACGTTTCATATCAGGGTGCAGCTCTAGTCTTGGCTGCTCTACTTCTGATCCAGCTCCCTGCCTATGTACCTGGGAAGGTAGCAGGAGTGGACCAAGTACTTGGGCCCCTGCCTCCCACTTGAAGTACTTGAATGGAGTGAGTTCCTGGTTCTTATCTTTGGGTTGATCCAGACTTGGCTGTTTGAAAGGCAACAGAAAAAGAGAGAGAAATCTTCCATCTGCTGGTTCACTCCCCAAACGACTGGCTGTCACTAGAAGGGCTGGTTCAGGTTGAAGCCAGGAGCCAGAATTCCATCTGCATCTCCCACATGGTTGGCAGGGCTCTCCATAACATTTCTACTGCTTTCCCAGGCATACCATCAGGCAGCTGGATCAGAAACAGAGCAACTAGGATTTGGACTGGCACTCTGGTATGGGATGCTGGCATTCCAGGTGGTAGCTTAACTTGCTATACCACAATATCAGCCCCAAAAGTAACTTTAAAAATTTTATAATTAAAAAAATTATTTTAGAGGGCCAGCACTATGGCATTCCACATTAATATACCAACTACAGTGCCAGCATCCCATACGTGCCCTGGGTTCAAGTCCCAGCTGCTCCACTTCTTAATGTTTGTGTATTTAAAAAAATTTTTTTTCAAAGAAAAACAATAAATAGCCTACTTATTTTTCAATTCAAATTTTGTTTTATTTAAATTTATAAATGACTTATCGATTACTATTTAAGAAACCTCTCTTACCCCTTTAATGTTTATCATCTACTTGTGCTGAATCCTTCCAAAGAGATCAAGTAGGCTGCTCCACTTCTGATTCAGCTCCCTGCTAATGCACCTGGGAAAGCAGTGAAAGATGGCTTGAATTGCTTGGACTCCTATACCCACATGGGAAGAAGCTCCAGGCTCCTGGCTCTGGCTTAGCCCAGTCCCAGCCCCAGCCATTTCCGCCATTTAGGGAATGAGTCAATGGATGGAAGATTTCTGTCTTTACCTCTGCCTCTCCCTTTCAGAACTCCTCCTTTCAAATAAATAAATAAATCAGTCTTTAAAAAATGATTTTAGAGGGTTGCCATTTGGCAAGGAGGTTTAAACAGTGCTTGGGACATTTTACCCAATAGCAGAGTGCCTTGGTTTAGGTCCCAGCTATGCTTCTGGTCCAGCTTCCTGCTGATGCACCTCTGGAAGACAGCTGGGGATGGCTCAGGTTCTTGAGTCCCTGACACCCATATGAGAGACCCAAAGTGAGTTCTGTAACTTCAGCCTGGCCCAGCCCTGCCTGCTGTTGGCATTTGGAGAGTAAACCCATCCTTCTCTCTGTCTCTTTGCCTTTCAAATTAAACAAACTGAAAAAACACATAGCATTTAAAAAATAATTTTCTGTATTTGAAAGCTAGACAGGTATGTCAGGTATGTCTTATTCACTGTTTTACTCCCCAGATACCTGCAACAGTTGGAACCAAGGCAGACTAAAGTTGGGGCCAGTATCTCATTCTGATTTTCTTCCACATGGGTGGCAAGGCTACAACCACTGGAGTTCTTACAGCTCCTCTGAAGGCATTAACATGCAGATGGGATAGGAATAGAAGCAGGACTCAAACTCAAACCCTTCGGTGTGGGATGTAAGCATCCATGCTGGGTTTTGACTGCTGCCCCAAACAACTAGCCTGATATCTAATTTTGGGAAACTTCCCATCCAACTCTCCTTTTTTTCCTGAGTTTTGTGGGGAATCCCATTACCATCCAGGTTTTACTTAGATTTTTCTTAACTGTTGGAGCTAATTCATAATTGTGATTGATACTTTGAGAGCAAAGTTGAGGAAGCTGCAGTTGGTTGACTCATTGTTTTCATAAATGAATCTTTGCTCTTCCTCCAAATTTGTCCTACCTGTTTGTTGATTATTTCATCTATGGCTGTTGTCATGGTGTTATGACAGAGCTGCAACAGAAGGTGGCCCAGCAAGCTCAAAATGGTTCTTGGCTCCTTAAGGGAAAATGTGCCTACTTCACACTTAAAGGGTTATGTTGTTCAGTGTGACTCTAGTGGAGCTCAGGTTAATTTTGGGGAAATGTTCACATGCCAATTGATTCCATTTAGAAAAGTCTCGGTTGTAAGTCTAACGCAATCAAATCTGATAAATGTTTTCATGTCAGTACTAAGGACATTTTGCAAAGAAGGTTTTAAATAAAAACTTTCCATGTGAGGACCATGAGTGATCTGGTCTTTGCTGGCTTGAAAATGTTAAAACTCAGCTTGTCTCTGCCCACTTGTCATGGATTCAGCCACTAGGCTTGGTTATGTATGGCCTGAGTGCCCCCGAAATGGCCTTTAAAGAGGAACTCCGTGTGCAGCAATGATGCTTACATGAGAAGATGGAATGCACACCTTGGTCCTCTTGAACAGGTGGACATGACTCTGCAGGGCTCTCTGCCCCAGCTGGAACAGCCTTAGCTGGAGACCAGCCTATCTGATGGCTCAGGAGATCACCCCACTTTGTGGGGATAGAACAGACACATGGGCAGAGCTGGACACTTTGATTCTCCTCTGGTCAAGTGAATTCCTTGGAGAGCCAGGAAGCATCCAGGGCCACCTATCCTCCTGACCACATGTGGTCCTTTGGCTAGCAGCATCCATGCCCTTGGGGACTGTGACACCCTCAATCCTTGCTCAGAATGACTGAATTGGAATTGTCCTGGGTTTTGGGGTGGTGTTTGTACTCTATTGGGACCTTATACATTTACTTAAGAGATATGCAAGTGGCTGGGAAGCTGTTCTGTGTTGTGCGGCTGGTGACATCACTTGCACTCGGAGAGAAGCTGTCTCCTTGCAGCCAGTATTTCTGTAACATGTGGTCAGACCCAAGTCTGCTTGACTCAGACAGTGCTGGCTGGGTGTTCCTGTGAAGACTTTGATAGTCTGCCTTTGTAATGCAAATGGAATTCCTTGATTGCAACAAGCAGGTTGCTGCAAAAAAGCTGTATCATCTCATGAGTTACAGGGAAGCAGGAGCTGAACAATCACCCTGGGAAAACCCCAAGATGTGGAGTGCAAGTACAAGGTAGCAGGTGAACAGTCACTTTGGCCTCATTTAGTGTGTGGATAGCTCACTCTGCATGAGCAGTGTTGGTAGCTTCCCCTGGTGAGCCTGCCACCTGGGTGTGAGATGTGACAATCAGAAGGACTCACAGTGTCCTCATCAATCTTCCTCCCAGGGGTCATTGGCAGCCAGTGTTCCTCTGTGTTTGTTCACCTTTCTGTTGTGGGAGGGTTTATTTAAATGCTGTTGGAGTTCTCCAGAAGAGTTTTACTATAATTTTTATTTTTGGTAATTGATTCCAAATAAACCTTTTTCCCAAGAAACAAAGTAGCTTATGGTTTATACATGAAGTCCAAATAGGATAACGGAGTAGTAGCAGGTAAGAAAAAAATAAAAGACTGAAGTTAAGAGATACAAAAAGCCCCAGGAATGTAGCCAGTTATGATTGTGTACTTTGACACTACTGCTGTCATCTGATACATGCACATTGCTTGTAAAGATACAGGATACATCTTAAGTATTTTCAAATGTGAAATTTGAGGTGAACTGTTTTTCAAATATCCTGTCTTAGCTAGAATTGAGTTTACAAGCTTCTTGCTAATAAGCGGTTGTTGTTGTTTTTTAAGATTTATTTATCTTACTTGAACAAATTACTGAGATGGAGAGAGGAGGAAATAGAGATCTTCTGTTTGCTGGTTTTTTTTTGTTTGTTTGTTTGTTTGTTTTGTTTTTTTTTTTTTGCACATGGCTGCAATGGCTAAAGCTGTGCCAGTCTGAAGGCAGGAGCCAGAAGCTTCTCCTTGGTCTCGGGTACAGGGGCCCAAGGACTTGGGCCTTCTCCTGCTGTTTTCCCAGGCCATTAGCAGGTAGTAGGACTCAAACTGGCATCCATATGGGATGCTGGCACCACAAGTGGAGGGCTAACTTGCTACACCATTACACAAGCCGCAGGTAGTTGTAGCTGTCAAGTTTATCCTGTATCGGAGAAGGCTATAGTAAGTACTGCCCTTGTCTGGCCCACAGCTTGTTTTCCCTTGGGTATCCTGACCGGTTCTTTTCTGTATATCTTTGCTTTCCTGTTTGTACCAGTGGTTCTTAAAACTTTGCTCTTGGTAGGGTGTTAAAACACGCAGATCCCAGCCCCTTCTCAGAAACTGGCAAGTGCCGGCCAGGGTCTGTAGCCAGAAAGTCTGTATTTTAGCTCTCTGATTACGTGCCTGGGAAAGGGCAAAGGATAGCCCAACTGTTTGGGCCCCCACACCCACATGGAAGACCTCGGTGTGGCTCCTGCATTCTGGCTTCAGACAAGTTCAGCTCTGGCCATTGCTGTTTGGGGAGTAAGAACCAGAGAATGCAAGTTCTTTTCTCTCTATGGCTCTGCCTTTCAAACAGATCAGTCTCTTTTTTTCTAATGCCCAACTATTTAGTGTTAAGCAAAGCATGCAGTGTGTGTGAAGAGTCTGGCTGCTGACACCCAGCACTGACTGCATCTCCCCTGCCTTTCACAGATTTATCAAAGGATCCCCAACTCCGACCCGACCTCTGGAAAAACCCGACAGATCATTTCCAGCATCAGGACACAGAACCTCCCCAACTGCCAGCTCATCTCCCGGAGCCACTACTCGCCCTTCTACTTGCCGTTCGTCATGCTCTTGGCCGCCCTGAGCTGGCAGTACCTGAGCACCCTGTCTCAGGTCACAGAAGACTATGTTCAGACTGGAGAACACTGAGTGGCAGGTGACAGAACCTGGCTTGACCTGGCTTCCCCTTCAGGGACCGATGTTGGCTTCTCTTTTGTTATATTGTTTCTTCCTATTTTGACACACACCCTCCATGGAGATGTGTGTGCTTGAAGCTGTGAAATACAGTTAAGACGACACACATGCACATGAAAGGAGGGTCGCCCAGACCCCACAGAGACGGTTCAGAGTCCTGGTTGCAGCTGAGGTGACTAATGCGGCCACATGGGGGACTGTCCCAGCATGTCACCCAGAGTGCATCCAGGCTGGAGGGATAATTAAATATATTTAATTTGAAGCAACCTTTGAGTACCTATCATAGTGGAAAATGAAGTGAATTCTCTTCCTGTCCAGGTCCTATTTTCTTGCCGTTGTTTCATTTGTCTGATTGTGGTACATCTGAGCGTTGAGGGTTCCAGGTGACATTTCTGTGCTTCCCTGGAATGCAGGCTTGTCTCTGCTTCTGCTTCTGCAGGCTGTGAATAAAATTCTGGGTGTCCTGATATTATTCTGTATCTTAAAGTGGGTAGGGCTTTCAGAGACAGCAGGAACGCCCCAGACCTCATTTTAGAGGCTTGGCCTCCAGCTAAGGCTGTCGTTTCAAGGGAGAATTTTAAAATAAAGAATTTAATGATTCTGTATTTGTCAAATGCGGTTCACTTGAAAGTCTGATGAAAGGGATTAGTGACCGAGGGATGGGGAGCCATCTGCTCTCACTGTTAACACCAGCCAGCGCAAACTGGGAGGACATGCCGCCGGCCACAGCTGGCAACTGCAGTGCCTCAGTCACGGTCGCCACCCTGCACCTAGGGCTAAGGCTCTTAGCAACAGCCAGAAGTTTTACTTTGCATATTACTATTACCAGCTATGTACAGAAATCTGGAGAGAGGCCAGGGTATTTTCGGGTGACGGGCTTAGAGGCCATCGTGCTTGATCTTTTCCTTTAGCCACAGTGGTATTCCCCTTCCTCTTTCTACCAGCACAGCTGGGATGTGCGGTGTATTCTCAACAAGAGCCACTCGCAGAGATTCTCCTCAGCATGAGCAAAAGAGAGGATGCAGCCCTTTGCCAGGGGTGTGTTTAAAAAAAAAAAAACCCATAGGTTGAAAAGCAGTGCCATAGGCCATTGGAAGACTGCAGAAGCCACTGATGCTCTTGATCTCTGGGTTGGTCTAAAGCCGAGTTCCGCATTAAAAGAAGTGTGAGTGTGTAAGTAGCTCATAGGTTTGGCTGTCCAAGGGCTGTCCCATCGGTTGGGGCTTTGGTGAGGGCCCCATGGCAGAGGACATCACAATGGTGGGCGCTCGTACAGAGGAGATGGCATAGTGGGATGGGAACAGGGAAGTAGGGGTCCAGGCTTCCTCTCTTTTTTTTTAGGATGTTAAGGAGTAGTCTTTATTTTTTAAAGGTTTATTTTTATTGGAAAGACAGATTTACAGAGAGAAGGAGAGACAAAGATCTTCCATCCATTGGTTCACTGCCTAAATGGCCACAATGGCCAGAGCTGCCTGATCAGGAGCTTTTTCTAGGTCTCTCACATGGGGTGCAGGGTCCCAAGGCTTTGGGCCATCCTCTGCTGCTTTCCCAGGCCACAAGCAGGGAGCTGGATGGGAAGTGAGCAGCTGGGACTGAACCAGAGCCCATATGGGATCCTGGCACTTGAAGGCGTAGGATTAGCCAATTGAGCCATCACGCTAGGCCCCTAGCTTCCTCTTTATAACATGGCTGACTTGGGAAAACTGGTTCACTCCATATCAGCATTAATCCTTTCTGGGGATGAAATCTAGTTGCTAAATCAGGTAGATGCCATGCCATGGGGTATAGCTAATTACAAGCCAATCCAGTGATTAAAACTTGGTTTGAGGGAGGTGCTTGGCTCGCAGGTTGGGGAATACTGCTTGGGATGCCTATAGCTTGTGTTGCAGTTTTGATCCCTGAGAGGCTGCCAATAAGATGGCCAGGGCCGCTTCCCCTGTGTGAGCAACAGACTGATACACCGAGCTCCTGGCTCCAGCCTGGCTTGAGATCCCAAGGTCAGTTGTTACAATTCATGTGTCAGGTTCTGTTCTCAGGTTCTCAGGTTCATGTAAGACGGAAGACTGCCTGGTGAGAGAGCCTTGACTGGAGGTGAACGTAACAGACGCTAAAGCTGTGTCAGTTTTTCCATCGCTGCCTCAAACTAAGATCTTAGCTCATTCAGCAGCTCTTTGAAAGACTGGCTGCGGTTTGAACATTGTCCTTCAAACCTTAATGGCTTGCAATTCCAAAATCTTAGACTAATGGCCTTGGGGGAGGTATTAGTACTGATGGTATTTGGAGGTGGCACTTTGGAAAGTGGTTTGGGTGAGGGTTATGATAAAAGATACTGGCAGCTTATTTCATGTGCTACCCTGTGCTACCCTGGGACTCTGCCAGTGAGAATGTCATTGTTAGGCGGCTAAACCTACAATGGAGGCCGCCAAAGTTAGCTTACCAGTCAGCTGCCTTAGGCATTTCATTATAGTGATAATATACTAATAGCATTGGCTTCCTAGGTATGGAAGGTTACCAGGAAAAATACAAGTTGCCCAATTAAACTTGAATTTCAGATTAAGCTTTTTTTTTTTTTAGTATAATTATATCAATATTGCATAGGACATTTATACTAAAAACTACGTATCTGAAATTCAGGATTTAATTGTACACCCTATATTTGTACTTGGCTAAATCTGGCAAACCCACCCTCCAGTCCCCACCTCTAGTAGGTCTTCAGTCTCTTTGGTTCCTACTTAACAGTTGAGTTTTATTCAGAACACCAGACCCATCTAAACGCAGTTTAAAATAAAGAAAAATGACACTGGGAACAAGAACCTGGTCTTGGCCTGGGGTACTTGTGCAATCCTAGGTAAGACACATGCAGACCCTCTGGCCTTGAGTTGTCTGGCCCCCACTGAGAGGCTCCCCCCATTGTGTCCCAGGGGCTTGGCTGTACAGAGAGGGACAGCCAGGCATCTGCCAAATATCAAGCATTCTGAGCGTCAGAGGCAGAGCTGCAAGGCTGTGAGCTTAAACCTGTCAGAGATCTTCCAGCTCTGCAGCTGTTGCTGGCCAGGGCACTTTGCGTGGTATACCATGCATCTCAAGTGCATCTCCAGCAGGCCCCTGGTGATGGCCATGCCTGCCGTCGGTCTGCAGACAACTGGGAGCGGCAGGGTTTGCTAAGCCTTGTGAGAGGAAGAGGCAGGCAGGCCTGACCGCCTCAAAGAATGCCCTTCTCTAAGGCTATAAAGGCAGCGCCAGCATCATCCGTCATCCCCACCATGGGCAAGCACTGAACTGCAACAGTTCATGGGAGGTGCATCTGCTGAGAGCTACCACAGCCACCACAGGGTAGGGGCAGGTTCCTCCACTAGAAGCTGCCTCAGCCTTGCATAGGGATGCCTCGTGCTTCCTATCTTACTGAACACATCTCGGTCAGCTCCAAGGGGCAAGGGTACAATTGTAAGGTCGGGAGAAGCAACATGGGAGTAGAACTACTCAGTTTGGGAACAGGAAGAGCTAGGTCTAAGCAAGGAACTCGGAAGCTATGATTTTATTTGAAATCCCAAGAATAAAGTGACCACAGGGAACCGCTGTTAATCACAGGATCACAGTTTTTTGCTTATGACATTTGGGTTTTGAGAGCTTATCTGATAAAGTGGAGTGCTGGCAGAAGCCAGACTTTCCATACTTGGGTAAAGAGCCAGCCCAACTCAGGCACTCAGCTGGAAGGGAAATAAAAGGCATTGGAACTGGCCAGCAGGATTTTGTGTGGATTCTTCTGGTCTCTGTTCCCGTATTCTGGGTTAAATTGTCAACCAGCATGAAACAATGGGAAAATTCTTGACCAGCAGAGTAAACCGGTGACACAGGCAGAAAATTCTCAAAATGCTGTACACAGGGCTCTGGCTCCACCCACCCTGAGGGCCCCCGAGGGAACGGGTCCCCAGGTAGGATGGCATCTTCGTTCCCTGAGACACAGCACACCTGCCTGTTGCCAGGCAGCATCCTCTCTCAGCCTGGTTGCGCTGCTTTGAAGTTAATAAAAACTGGAGTATAATATGCCCTTCATGTTGGAAGGAGGGACCAGCATGCCAAAGGCTGGGATGCATGTAGTATGTGGATTTACAGACTGTTGAGGGTGGCAGGGAGCTGCAAGGACGCTACGGCCTGGAAATAGGTTTGCACAGCGAGAGCTTTAATTGCAGTAGCCAGGACATGTGGTTCCACGCCCACAGGACACTCCCTTTGCGGGCAGGAGTGCAGAGAGCAGCCACTGGGCTGCAGGGTGAGCAGGTGTCAGACGCCAGTAGAGCACAGAGCTTGGGTAGGAGAAACCTTTTATTGGCACAGTCATTCCTTGTTAAACTGACAGGGCAAAGCAGTAATTTTTATCAAACAGTAAAAGCTGGTTTCTCCCACGCTAGTCTCACTGTGCTAGTTGATGTCAACAGAGACCAGCAGCAAATCCAGACCACTGGGATTTGTTTTTGTTCTGTTTTAAGCCATACCATTGGGAGATGATCTGTCAAACAAGTACAGCTCTTCCAACCCTTACCATCTGTTTGTTCACATGATCGGTGGAAGTACGCAAAAAAATAAAACTTCTATTAAAAAAGGACCATGCTGAGGACAAAGTCAGAGGGGGTTTCAGACACTGCAGAGCTTGCCAAGGTGCAGGGGTCCTGGGGGAAAGTGGCTTTTTGGGTGGGCTGCTGCCTCCCTCTCTCCTCCAAACGAGGTATGAATCCAAGAGGCCACTTGCTTGGTGGTGTTGTGCCGGAGGGGTAACAGTCGTTGTCAGGAATCCCAATACCAACAGGGCTCTGGATAGAGGAGGGGCAGAGGGTAGCAGCCAGAGCTGGGAGCAGCAGGGGTGACAAACAGCCTAATTTATGGGGGGCAACAGGGAAAGGGAATCCTGTGCTCACAATGGTGGCCCCCGGGCCTGTTGTGCCATGACCACCATCTGCCAAGCAGGCTGGAAGGGGGCCGGCCTCTGAAGCACCTCCGTGGAAGAGATGCTTTGACGGTGGCCACAAGCTGGGCCCAGTCCAGTCCTTCAAGTCCTGTCAAAAACCTCCTGTATCTTGTGTGGAAAGGCATTCCTACCCACCCCCAGCCCAACTCATCTCATCCCCAGCCCAACTGGATACAGCGAGGGGTGACTCCCCCAGGATCGGGGAGGGGGCTGGCCAGTCCGCCAGCCAATTAGATCTGTCGCCAGTACTGATCGGTGCGTGGGATTCCGGCCACCACTTCTGACTCGATGCCGCAGTGGTCTTGCCCTCGGAGGATTTTGAAGAAGCCTAGGGGAGAAGAAAAGGTGCTTTCATGGTGGGCCTGGGACCTGGACTCTCACCACAATGGGCATCCTCACCCCCCAAGACACCCAGGAGGAACCAGCCACCAAGCCTGCCCCAGACAGCAGGGTCTGTTCCATGATGCAGCCACCTGGCGCGTAGGGAGCCACATGCTCCCGGAAGCAAGGACCCAGCATGGCCAAGCAAACTGTACTCCCACCAAGTCCTGGTCACCAGCTCCCTGCCTTTGGGTGGAAGGAGGCTGCCACTCACCTTTGTCACCCCAGTCAGTGTTCCATGAATTTGCCACCAGCCA